TCAAAACATCAGACAATCTGAGTGAAAGTCATCATCAGAGTCAAATGTTAACCATTCACTTGACTCTGATGATGACTTCCGCACAGGTTGTCAAAACATCAGTCACCACCACCGACAACAGTCTTTCTCATAGCCTGCGAAGCAAGCCCTGGGGTAAAGGAGGGGGATTGGGGGAAGCGGAGCCCCAATCCCCTCTCCTCTCCCCCAGGGCTTGCTTCGCAGGCTATCTTTCTCAAGACTACACTTACCTGAACGATCAGCCTACACTACCATTTCCAGTGTTAATACAAAATAGGTCGAAACTCTACAATCAGCTGCTGTATTGGGAAAAATTTCCGACACTAAACATACCTGAACGACGTTCCTTCCACGCCGCTGAAGTAAAATTGCATTTTTCGCGTCGTAATTCGCAACTACAAGGAAAGAGATTTGAAAAAAATTTAAAATTAGTCAAGCAGCACCACCACAGTACTTAGCCTTAAGTAAGTTAGAAAATGTGTACTTTGGCGGTTGAAGGGAGCATGTATGAGTTGAAATGAAAGCGACAGTTATTCTCAAGAGGCGACGTAAATCATTGCAAAATAATTCCAGGTATAAACAATATTCGCTGAGCCTAAAGTGGAGAATTTTTCTAGAATAAAAGCCCATAGACAAGTGATTGTCCATACCCATCTTTCCAAGGAATATCGAAAAACACCGTGGTGGCCATTTGAAAAGTAGAATTTTGCTATCCTTATCACTTCACTCACGTTGAATATATCAAGATTCGACGTAATCTTCGAACAGTCAGAGGGCGCACTCGTCCAAAAAATTGAGCAGATATGTGGTTTGACATAAAAATTATTTTTTAATTGTGCGATTCCACAAACCTCATCAAAAGACAAGTCATAGACTTGAAATTCCTGGCTACTGTTTCCAGGCCTACTCGGTCCCTCGGCGGTGATGGGAACTTTGTTGATCATGGCTTTTCTGAGCTGGAAAAGAAAACGTTCAAATGATGCTTAGGCTATGCTACAGAAATAAAAATTTACGTGTTAAGTTTGTGGTAAATCTCATTGTATACGTCCCTTAAAAAAAATAGGTGAGCCAACTAATAAAACATCTGGCCCTTGTTGTTCGAATGTTAGATAACACTATCCACTGAATAATTCTCTATCCGGTGGATAGCGCAGTACCTTTTTGCAATCACTTATCCGCCTTTTACAGAAGTGGCCCCTGACTCGTAATACAGATGTCATAGGCCAAAGATGTGAGCCAAGAAAACTGAGTACACGAAATCCAGGCTTGCTGGTAACCACCCGGAGGAAAAAGCTTTTACAAAGACAAATCTCGCTTTTTAAACCCAAGTGGCTGTTTTAACAAAGTAATTAATAGGACATTTTCGGTAGGAATATTATCGAAAGAGAAAGAAAGTTGACGGAAGAATAAATTTTATCATTCATTTTCTGTCACTAAATTTAAAAAATTAGCCTCGACACGATGTTTCCCAACCAGTCTTCACGTCCCGTGAAGATTGGTTGGGAAACGTCCAAATTCACGTCCAAAAACTCGAACTTGGACCCAGGGTTTGATTCCTTTCAGGGACACCCCTTCTTTCTGATGTCCTCCACCCTACACAGAAAAATATTATCCACGTCCGTAACAAACACGTGACCGTATGTTTTCGAGATTGCTCCAATCTGAAAGAAACTATGGACAGAGCAAATTTTAAGGAAATCTGTAATGGCTTAAAATCACAATTAAAATCATTCTGTACCTCTTGGACTTTATCGCTCTCCAAAGATCTTTCCACGTCTTCAAGATCGACTCCTGGTGGGTCTTGTAAGTAACCTTGCTGCAAAGCAAAGCAACACCAATAAAAAAAAAAAAAGAGGTCTCAATGTGGTTAACAGTTAGCCGTAAAACGGCCAAAAAATTTAACTGTAAGGTGTAAAAATTGGCAAATTTTTAACCGTTAGTTGTGAAAGCCATCACCCCATTGAGAGCCTCGTACAATGCAAAGCTGGGGCGCATCTCGATTGAGTGACTTGAAACCAAACCAAACGCATTCAGCACAGCCAATCAGAATGAAGGTAGATATCACAAAGAGCCAATGAGAATTCAAATAAGACAGCTTTCAGGGCGGGAAAAAAAGCGAGCGACCAAGTCGCCATTGGTTTTGCATTTGCATCTGATTGATCGAGTGGGTGGCGTAAGTTACCTGCCTGGACCAATCACAGTACAAGGTTAGGCAGAAACAACTTGGTGCTAGATGTGTCCTACTTACCACTGTCTTCAATCTTGGATGAAAAATAATCATTCCATTGTTATTGATCGCAAACATATATCCACTGGGCCCCACCTAATAAAGAAAAATAGCAGACTTGGTTACTGAACATGCTAGTTTCAACACTTAAAGAGACATTTCGTGAACAATTTTCGGCCATCTAAAAGTTCTTTTTTCCTTGAAAATAATCTCGAGATTCCTCAAACTGCGCTNGCCAAGGGTAATTCGGAAATGGGCTATTGAATATCGGAAGTCATCCGGGATTGCTTCGCTTTTACTTAAATTGGCTCTGATTGGTCCAGAAAACTCGCATCATCCTCGCAATCAATCATATGGAAAACTGCGACTTGTTCGTTCGCGTTTTCCCGCGGTTCGAGCAGTCTGCTTCTTGTCACTTTGACATCTCATTGGCTAATGATGACGTAAACCTTTGTTCTAGTTGGACGCTGGGATTACTTTCGTTTGGGTTTTTCGACACTCAGTTGAAAACTGCTCTAAATAAAAATACCTGAAGAGATAACAAAAGGAAAATATTACTAACCAATGGCCGCAACATAAATTCTTCCAGGTAACTTAGCGGAACATCTGTGCCCATAACTCCAAGGAAGTGATCTTCGCGTTTTTCTTCAGCTTCCATTCCATCTTTCTCCTGATCCACACCAAACATATTTTTATGACAATGTGTAAGATATAATATTTCCTGTTTGGTGATTAGCTTTAAAAAGAAACTTTTGAGATTGGTTGGTGTACAACTGTAACAGTGATCCACTGTAGATAAAAGGCTGAAATTTGAAGTGTAAGGCTGCGGTTGGAACAAAAAAAAAATGATTCTGGGGCCCATTTCTACTCTGTTTAACTCAACTAGGTGCATCATCTACATCTAATCTAGTACAACAAACAGGGAGATACCATCAATTGTGCTTCTTCGAAATATTGCTAGCGCACTGTGGAAGCTAAAAGGATTTTAAAATTATTGTCAAATTGTTTTCAGTGGAATAGTTTTTCACACCTTCCTACTGAGTTTCTTCAGCGAATCCGTGACATTGCTTTGACAGAAACAGTCAGTCTAGTTTATGGGACTATCAAGAATACACTTCTGGGCAGATTCTCCTCGAACAAAACCAAACAAGAAACTTACAGAGCAATTAGAGAGATCTTCTTTGCTGTAGAAAACCGGTAGAGTCCCCGTAACCATCATACCAAGTCCCTATTAAAAAATTAGGTGACAAATATTGCGTAAATGACTGACCCAAATAGCTGTCAGAGGCTATCCCAGTTTTAGTAACACAAAGGAACAAGGGGCATGCCTAATTTCTTAACGTCACGTCTAAACGTAACTGAACTTGCACCTCGGTTTCGACTCGATTATCGCAATTCTAACATGTGTTATTAGTGTTCATTCACATTTTATTGACAGTTTCTACGAAGCGTCTTGCTTATATATACACATTTAACAGCCCCCATGGTGGTGGAATATTTAATTACTACCAATCGAGACTACTTTTATTTGCTTAAAAAAAAAAACAAATTGCGAAAACATGTAAGTGATTGAATCGCTGATTCACACAACACCAAAGTTACTTTACATACTAACCAAGGCATCCAAATAAACACTTGTCCACACTGTATGGTCAGTTATATTCGCCTCAGGAGCCTTCGCCATCGGCCGGGTTAAAACTCGGATGTAATTCTAGGACAGTTCAGTACATCTTTATTGTTAGGATTCTTGATTGTCCAAAAGTACAGCTTAGGTTACACTCTGTTTTATCAACCAGCCCATAATTTCCAAAATACACATGGTTTGGTAAACTTTACCTCACTAACTTCACGTACAGCTCCGACACTCTGAATTCTTGAAAAGTAACCTAAGGTATATTTTCAAACCGTTAACTTGCTAGCAATGCTAAGGTTACGTACATTGGATTCTAAATTGAAAGATCTGGTGATGGGCCTATCAACGGTCCTTGAGGAACACTTTACTCTTAAAATGCCAGGTATTTCCACTCAGGTGTTTAAATGGGCACCAGATAACTATTTGGGAGATCTGAAAAAATGCTACAGGAAAAATGGTTGGTGATTTCAAAATACAGAGATCAAAAAAAGTACTGAAATTTGGCACATGCCCGAATCACATTTTAGACTGGTGGACTTTCATAAACAACAACAATCTTGACGACAGATCCTTGGTGAGTTGTATGCTTTAAATGGTTTTGATTCTTTGCTCACAGTTTCTTTGTCCTCCGAGTTTCAATGAAAGACGGTTGAGGATTAGAAAATTGTACTTCTGGAGTTTTCAGATCAACGCACTTTGACGTTAACAACTTGTAATGAAATGGACTTCATTTGACCGGCAGATGAAAGTCAAGTAAAGAAATGGCTCTCATGGGTGGACTGCGATTTTAGCATTTGCAGAGAAGCCTGAAGAAAATTCAGGCTCAACAAAATTCGAGCCTCTGTCGCTTATGTACTAACGTTGGTAGATATTTTAGAGGGTTCTTCTTTACTGTAAAGGAATTTGATAACAACTTCCCTTCACTTTGACATTCACATCTACTTCATAAAATTTTCAAGAATATTTACAAATTCCCTACCAGTCATTAAATTCTAATCAATCTACCTCTATTGTTGCAAGCCATTTCCCGCAAAGCTTCAGTGCTTTCAGCAGGAGGTCCAACAGCAAACGTAAACACCCGAACCTACAAGAAATCATAAACGGGTATGACATATCCAGTAGTTTCAATGACATTAGGGACCTTAAGAAACCACGACGACAACGAGGACGTGGAAAAACAAGAGATCTACTTGGCAGAACAATAGCTCAGCACGTGCGTTTTGAAACTTTGTACATTTCTTAGTCGTCCTATGCAAAACAGCAACGTCAAAAATCGCCAAAATTTGCGTCGTCGGCGAGGCGAAACCGCGACGGCAAATTATTTTAATTTCCATTTGGAACTCAACGGCTCGTTTATACGTCATGCTGAAGTTGAGCTGTGGCGCTGTATGAGACAGTAAGCTCCTGCAGCCATTTTTGAAATTCTAACTAAGAGTAGAAATTCATTTTTTAATCGAAGTCTTCCTTGGGGTCGCCGTCGTGGTTTCTTAAGGTCCCTATTATCTACTCAATGTTGCTGATATAGTAGAGAATTATGGAAACGTTACCAAACTGGGCGAAGCCAGTATTGTCTCTGCATTGCTATTAATGAAACAAAGTATGTGAATGCAAGGCACATACACATAGAATTCTTGTATTATTTGTTGTTGTTGTTGATCAGCAAAACTTATGTCAAAACTTATGTTTCTAATAGATGACCTGCAATCTTTGAATTCATTTTTTTCTCTATTTTTCTTGCTCAATTTTGGAAACTTGTGTGGTAGATAACAGTGATCTTCTTTTCAGGCAGTAAAAACAGTACAATTTACCGCCAGCTGAACCTCTCGTTACCGCCTAAAAATTGCGTGGAATTCTTGAAAATTCAACCAGTGAAAGGATTTCTCTAGGTACAATTTGAAAATTTCCGCAGCTCCAAATTCATTAATAAAAGCAATCTTTGAGTTGGCAAATTTTGACAATCTTACCTTTTTCTTTGGATTGTGCTCGGCAAAAAACTCATGAAGACTGGATGTTGTCCCATCACTTAGAACCATAATGGCCTCCTGGCAATCTGAACAATTATTTGCCTGAAATATAAATCAGATATATCTTATTTCCCAGCCACAGGTCCATATGGGAAAAAGTGTGCCCAAGGTCAAAGGCTGAGGGTCTTATATGGACCAATCTAGACTAGTAAATAACAATTTTTTTTTTCGATTGGTTTTCTTTTTTTTTCTGTTTTGCCACAAATGAGGTGGAAAAAGTCAAGACCATTGTCCATATTGTAACAGGCCAGACCAATTACAAGTGTGGGATTGCCCAACCAGTTTCAAGCATTCAAGATTCTGGCCTACTTATATGCTTCAGAAAAAAATTTAAAAATTAATCCTTGATTATATTGCTGGCTAATTTTCAAAAACAGATTCTAAAGGAAAACTTACAATTATGCAAACTATTGACATTGGTTGAATTGACAGCAGATAATTCTTACACAAATTGGAGAAACATGAGGCCCATGTTTGAGCTGTTGCTGGACATAAGATCATGGTGTTGCATTCCTGGGCAAGATTCTTTACTATGGAGATGTCTTTCCACCCAAGAGTATATAAATATGGGCACTGGTAAACTGTCAGGGAAGCCTAAGACGATATGTCGAGGTATACATGCAATGGTCAGATATCATCCCATCCAGGAGGGAGTAGATATACACCTGGCTTCTCCTTACTGCCGAGACCACAAAAAGCTTATTGAATAGATATAATTGGGCCACTCTGCCTAAAAGACTTAAACCATTTCTAAATTTCCTTTTTTCTCTGGTTTACCACCAAACAATACCCTATCAGGTAAATCTTCTGTATCATTCACCTTTTTTAAAAGTTCAAATGCTTTTTTCATTCCTTTTTCCCACATAGCAACATCCCCATCCTCTATATTCTTCAATTGCTCCTTGACAAACTGCAAAAAAAAATAATATATAATAATAATCTCTTAGAAACTAACTAGCACAAAACCTCTCCACAGAGAGAGAGGTACACTATGGAGGTACACTCCCTTGCAAAATTGTGAAAAAAAAAAAAACAAAAAAAAAACAGGTGGTTAATTAGGCATGTATTCCCTTATTCTTAGAGTGTGGGGAGATAGTACACATTACTGGTCTGTGCTCAGCATGTGAGCATGTGACTGACTGGTACAGCAGCAGCAAGAGATTTAATTTCCACTAATTTCCTTGTACAAAGCAAGTACAATTAAGGGAACAAGGAGAAAATTACATTCCAAATGATAATTAATTTTATCAGTACAGCTGAAGTTTGCTATCTCAAAATCAACAGTTCAAACAGTAACCTTGAATGCACAAGAAATAATAGAGAACAGAATATGAGAATGTAAGATTAAATTAATTTGCATGCATACAAGTCTCACACTCAATGCATGAGACTTGGGAACTCTGAATTTCTATGATAAAATCACAACCTCAAGACAGCCACAACAAACATATCACAGAGTTATTTTCCTTTTCCACTCTGAAAAAGACTAATACTGTGGAACAAGACAAAAGATTTGTTGAACTTCATCATGTGGTAGAACCATGACGGCAGAGGTCTGAGCTTGTTTCAATATAAGTTCCCGTGCAACAATGCATCTCTAGATAGATTCATCTTGAGCTGAAGAATGGTGTGTTTTACACATAACCCAGCTGACTTATAATAAATGAAAAGCTCATCCTTCTCAAATATTAAATTACGTTCATTTGGATGATTTTTAAAAACAGTTGTGAAGTTCAATTCATTCTCACATTCTCAAAAAATACACAAAGGCTACAAGCATACAACTTAAAGATAGCAAACTTCGACTTTTTAACAAATAAGACTCACAATTTTATTCTTCTTTGTAGCTTGAAGCAGTACAGGGCCACCTTCTTTACAACTCAGAACATTAGCCTTGATGTTAAACTACCAAATGAAATGAAAAACATGAAACAAGTGATAAACATTCCAGTTGAAAATTAAATGCAAAATCAAAGGTTTCAAAGTTATGTAGTAGTTAACAATTCTTGCTCAGTGTTGAGTATAATGAGAAGAATTATCGAGGCAAAGGTTCATCTTAGTTTCCAAAGCATAGGATAAGGAAGATAAACCAAAAACCAAAAATGTTTGTCAGTGCAGTGCTATCCACTGTTTTACACTGATAGAATAATACCAACTACTAGTTCAGTGATGACTCAGATGTTATGACAATTTCAGTTTGTTTACAAGCCAAACTGGTTGATGGAAATTTAAAACCACTAGCCAAACCTGAATTTCTACTAATCTGTGGCTAGTGGGCTACCATTAGTGTTGAGCCCTGAAGTTCCTTGGCTACTTTACTACAATCCTGATGCCAATTTCTAAAACAGGGTAATTGACTATGTCCTACCACCCAGCCTGACTTCCAGAGTTTCATAGGTTATATATACTTAGGTTACTACTAGGTAT